AGACGATGCCTACTCTCAATCAATTTCTCTGTATATTTCTTCTAAGAGACGTGAAAAAGTCCAGCCACCGTGCTTCTCTATTTATACCTATAGCGAACCTTTCCAAAACCCTCGGACACTTTCTTTCTTTGTAGTAATCCTTTCTTTCTTCGTCTCTAAAATATATTCTTCATAAATCTTTTTACTTTTCTTCCAAGCAAATATCTTTTTCTTTTTCTTAGCTTAATCTACGCATGTGAATATCAATACACGAGCTCCTCTTCACAAATCACATAACTCAGTTTCTGTATCACTTCTTGAAGTACTCTCTGTAGTACATTCGACTAGTATATGACAAACTCCAAAACAACTACTCCTCATAATATCTTGATTGCTTTAGATTTGAGTTCACGTCAATGATTTTGGCTTTCACTCGGAACCAAACTCACGTCGTACAGGCCAAATACCAAACCTCTTGTCTCTACTGATTGCGAGTCTTTTTTTTTATCATAAACAGATTGATGTTTTTTTAAATCATGGGTCTTAACTAGTTTCCAAACAGAGCTCTCAGTTCCAAATGTTTTGGTAAAAGTTATGTGGGAATGAATCACTTGTCAAAAATTGCAATAGTTTGTTTAGTTTTTGTATGTGAAATCACCAAATTTATTATGGGAGAATAATAAAGAATCAGCTACTGGGTCAGTTTCAAAAGGTCCTTTTTTGCAAGTTTTATTAATTTGTGGCTAAAATCTGTAAATATCCTTCATTTTACATTGGGTCTAGTTTCATGGGCTGTGTATGACAAGTATATCTAGCAACAGTTACAGAATCAAAGCTTGTGCAGGATAAGATGAGCTCCAAACTGTGGGTGAATGGTCATGACAGTGTAAGGCGCATGAACATAGGAAGGAGATAACTCGAAGGAGAATCTTTGTAGAATCAATGACATTGCCATCTTTGCTTCCAACAGAGCAAAATTCTGACCAATGCATATCCTTGGTCCCCACGCGAAGGGAAAGAAGGAGACTTGTCCCTTTGTTGCCTTTGAGAGACCGTCTTTGAATCTCTCGGGCTTGAACTCCGCTGCATCGTTGCCCCATAGTTCGGTGTCGTGTTGGACTAGCAGAATAGGTAGATTGATCTGAACACCGCCTGGTAATGTCAGATCTCCTAGCTTAATCTCTTTGTGAACGGCTCGCGTCAGCTGAGTAACTGGAGGATACAACCTAAGGACCTCATATAGTATCATTGTCACCTGTGAGGAGGGATCAAATCATTCAACAAAAATCACCAAAACAGAACAAAAGTAAGGTTTTGAATTTGGTTTTACTTACAACTTTGAGTTGGTTCAGGCCTTCTGTATCGGGTTCTTTATCGCCGAAAACTTGCCTAACTTCTTCTCTTGCGCGAGCCTGCCAGTCTTGGTGTTGGCTTAACAAAACCATTGCCCAGACAAGAAGTACCGAAGTAGTCTCTTGCCCGGCGAAATAGAATATCTTGCACTCCTCCATTACATCCTCAATGCTCATTCCATTTCCTTTACCTTGCCCCAAATTCGATTCAAGAAGTATACCCAGCAAATCGTCGCTCGGTGCTTCCCCAACTTCCCTCGCTCTTAACCTTTTGTTAATGATCCCTCTAAGTGTAACTTGGACTTCTCTAGCTGCTGCTTTCATCCTTCTATTACCCTTTGTTGGGAGATAACTATATCCAGGGATGAACGCTTTCCGAAATGCTTGTATGATGAGCTGCGCTAGTTCTGCTTGGAGCTCGAATATCCTCTGCCCTTCTTTGTAGCTGCTACCAAAAGCTGTACGAGAGATCACATCTGCAGTCATACTCACAAGCCAAGGCCAGACATCCACCTCACAAGACGATTCTTTATCAGAGACTAACTTGCCCCATTCGCCAACAATCTCGCCGCAGCTCTGGTGGAACGCAGGTACCATATTCTATACATAGAAGCACAAGGTACTAATTTGTGTCAGCTGAATGAATACATTAATATTACTCTGATTTCGAAGCTATAAAAGATAAAGCCTTAACCTTGATCTTCTCAAGGTGGAAAGCTGGATTGATAATTCTTCGATGTTTCGCCCATTTATCACCATTATAATTAGCGAGTCCAGTGGCTATCAATCTGACCAAAGGGAATGTATGGGGCTTCGGGAAATCATAAACTTTGTTGAACACTTCTTTGATTAGCTCAGGATCCATTATGGTGATGGCTGGTATAGGTCCAAGCCATGTAAAGAAAGTCCTTCCTGTTCCAACCACATATAGAGATACTAGCTAATTAAAGTTTAAACCTTTTGTCTAGATAAGGTACTCTGTAACAGTTCTAAATAGAGAAGAATCCAACCAGAAAAGGAAGCATACCGTGAGTCTTGAGCATTTGCAGAGGATAAGGGACGACACGTGGAGTGATATCATCGGTTAGTTTGATGGGTTTGGAACTTGCCTCTGTCAACATGGTGAAATTCCTCTGCAAATCGCCGACAAGAGGAGTGTAAGGAGTTCCGGGAAGACCTTGTCTTCTCAGGTAACTCTCAAGCATCTTAGGTTTAAACCAAACCCACTTCAAAGTTCTCCATACCCACCACGACACAAGAACTATGGCGATTGAAACTGTTACCAACGCAGCAACTGATGTTTCCATTTTCTCTCACAGAGAAAAGAGAGAGAAAGAATAATATCCGAATTTAAAGAATTGAGAGAATTTTGGGAAGAATATATGGATGTAATAAATACTTTTTGTTTGGACAATTATTTTGCTTTTAGTAGGAGCCTCGCAGAGTCACAGTTAGGTCACAAGAAGCAAATTTGGAATTGCGTGAATAGCGACAAAAAGAGAATGGAACTGTCATAACTTGAGTGGGCAACAAGGCACCAACGTCGCCAACTTTTTCTTACGTTGAAATTATAATTTTGGTTTGTTTTACTGTTTAATACTTTAATGCCACTATATATATGATTATATGTACTAAAACTAAAAACAACATGAAACGGATTACGACTTCTCCACCAATTTACTTTCTATAAGTCTAGTATAAACTATAAAATATAAACTTACTTCTGCACCAATTTACTTTCTATAAGTCTAGTATAAACTATAAAGTATAAACTTACTTTTTTGAAAATATCACACTTATTTATTATAGAAGTTTTTGATATGGAATCCTACGTCTATAACAACTCCATTTGATAACATCACATTGGGTTATATACTTATAGAATCATAGCTTGTGCAGGATAATAGGAGCACCCAACTTTGGGTGGATAGTGATGACTTTGTAAGGCAAATGAACATAAGAAGGAGAAAGCTCCAAGGAGAATCTCTGTAAAATCAATGCCATGGCCATCTTTGCCTCCAATAGCGCATAATTCTGAGCAACGCAGGTCCTTGGTCCCCAACCAAAGGGCAAAAAGCATACTTGGTTCTTTGTTGCCTTTGAGATCCCGTCTTTGAACCTTTCCGGCTTGAACTCAGCTGCATCATCGCCCCAGAGCTTAGTGTCACGATGGATTAGCAAAATAGGCATATGGACTTGAACACCGGCTGGTAGTGTTAGATCGCCTAGTTTTGTCTCTTTGTGGACCGCTCGATCATTTCGATGGCTGGAGGATATAGCCTAACGACCTCATGAATAAACATCGTCATCTGTAGGATTCATTCAATAAAATCATCAATATTACTTAAAATAAAGCATTATTAACTTGAAAAGGTTTAGCCAGTAGTTTTGTAGAGTGAGTAGCCGGCTTAAATAGCAAGAATACAAACCTCGGAGATTAGTCCGGTCCATGATCTACTCTGTAATAAAACTTGAAAATGTTTCTAGTTAGGTTTAATACTTACAACTTTGAGTTGGTTAATGTCTTCTAGATCAGGGGTTTTATCGCCAAAAACTTGCATCACTTCCTCTCGTGCACGAGCTTGCCAATCTTGGTGTTGGCTTAACAAAAGCATTATCCAAGAAAAAAGTACTGAAGTGGTCTCTTGTCCGGAGAAATAAAACAACTTACACTCTTCCATCATTTCTTCAGTGGTCAGTCCATTTCCTTTCGTTTGCCCTGAATTTGATTCAAGAAGTATATCCAACACATCACCACTCGGTGCTTCTCCAGCGTCTCTCGCCTTTTCCCTATTGCTAATGACCCCTTTTATTATACCTTGAATTTCTCTAACTATTGTCTTTATCCTTCTATTAATTTTGGTTGGGAAATGCCTACACACGAAAAATGAAGAGTAAAATTTTACAATTCCGCATTGACAAAAATCAAGAAAGGATCGTATATAGCCATGAACCATTATCTTCATTGTCTATTGGTTTTGAATTTAAAAGGTCAATTAGTTCATAGTATTAGAGAATCCATGGTATTGACTTGATTCTAAAAATGAGATTGATCAAGTAGTATGTATATCAAAAGTCTTATATTGAGAATAAATATTGATAGTCAAATATAATGGAGTAAAGTCTCATACCGATATCCAGGGATTTAATTCTTCCCAAGAGCTTGTATAATGAGGTGTGCTAGTTCCATTTGTAGTGTGAATATTCTCTGTCCTTCTTTGTAGCTGCTACCAAAAGCGGTTCGAGAAATCACATCCCCGGTCAATTTCACTAGCCATGGCCAAACATCAACTTCACACGACGATCCTTTACTTGAAACTAACTTGTCCCATTCGCACACAAGCTCGCTGCAGCTTTTATAAAACGCAGGAACCATATTCTATACACCATAATCATAATCAAGGCACAAAAAATGGGTCAACCATCACTCATAAGCCAAAAGGAGTTATAACAATATTAGCTAATTAAGTGAATCTGAAACCTTGATCTTCTCAAAATGGAACGCCGGGTGGATGATCTTCCGATGTTTCGCCCATTTATCTCCATCAGAAGTAGCGAGTCCATCGGTTATCAATGCAAACAAAGGAGACGGGTGTGTCTTGGGGAAATCATAAACTTTGTTACACACTTCTTTGATCAGATATGGATTCATTATTGTGATGACTGGTACTGGTCCTAACCATGTGAAAAAAGTCTTTCCTGTTGTGGCCACATACACACAC